TCACAAAGACGGCGATTGGTGCCCGCCTCCCTAGACTCAGTCACTGCGTCGTATAAGTCCTTCATTCGGTTCTTTTTCACATTTTTCTTGTGGCTTCAAGAGAATCAAAGTAGAATATGAATGAGCTTGGCTGGCAACCCAGACACAAAGCTGTAGTTGTATTTGTTGTTAGCTAGCAAACTACAGATTCTTATTTTTTAAGAGAAATAGCAATGGGTCTACAAATATGAAGGGAGAGAGAAAACCCTGCATACCTTTTCCTCTTGATGCTCCCGGCATCAGATGACAGAATGCTGTCTCCATCCTCATCGTCCCTCCTCACAAGTTCCCTCTTTTTTGCCTTTACCAACAGGAAGATCAGGTAGACATGTCAGTAGACAAATACACTCATTTCTGCAAGATGCTTCATTTTTTGTTTCAAATTACAGCTATTTACTTTCATTCTTGGCCTCACTAGAGTTAAAACACCTTCTGCAAGAGTCCTTACCTGCAAGATCTGCTGAAGCCTAAATGCCCGTTTGTAAATGCTTGAGTTAGGCATGTTGTAGCGCTTTGCATTCTCAAACATCAGAGTGAGGTCAGCATCCATCTGCTCCACACTTTCATACTCGCAGTTCTTCATTTTTGCCCTTAAGAATAAGCAAAAGGTTATTATGGACTTGCTAATCTGTCATTCTGCCTCTCAACATGGTATCTACCGAGTCATCACTACTTACCGGATCTGCTGCAGAGCGATGGGTTGTTTGATCTGCTGATAGTAGTCGGGGTACTCCCTGCGAGAGGGCAGGTGCTGGAACGGTTCAGAGAAGACCTGGCCCTGGTTGTTCCTGGCACCCCTCACGGCTTCATACAGCTGGAAGATCGGGTTGCTCATCTCCATGCTAGAACTCTGACTCTCAGCCTCTGACTCTCCCTCGTCGTAGCAGACGGAGCCTGTAAACATTTACACGGTGAACTCTTGTTTTTTTTTTGAAACACACGGTAGACTTCTCTGCCGCCTGAAGCGCTGATAATTACCAGAGAGCACCGGGTCGTCCTCACTCTCTGAACCATAGTGGAGAGCTACGCTGACGCCAGAAAGTTGATCCCCCTGGCCGGACCTGCGATTTCTAAATAGTAACAGTAAATACAGAAAGACCGTGTAGGTGTTGTTTTCTTTCTGATAATAAATTGTTGGTTTGTGTTTGAGACAAAAATAAAACACAAAATAAAAGTGTCTGATTGTCATTTAATACCTGATGCGAAGACTAGATTTAGTGGGTTCAGCATGTTCAAGTTCAGTCTTCCGCTGGATGAAGATTTTCTTTATGGTGTTAGCATCCTATATAATAAAAAAAAAAAAAGAGAACAATTGTTAATATTTGGGATGTTGCATCTTGTAAAAAATAAAATCATGAAAGAGTTTACCTTAAAAACCTGAGATCCTGGTTCATTGTACGTTTTGGCATTTTTGGCCATCAGGTCGATGTCCTTGGCCATCGCATTGACACTTTTATAGTATCCAATCTATGCAAATCACATAAATTAGTGCCGACTATTAAAACAAACACCAGGAAGTTCTGAAATCCGCGATTGATTTTTAAGATGAATGACACATGACAAAGCGATCGGTCACTACCTGTATTCTTTGAGCGATCGTTCTCAGATCGATTGGTTCCTTTATGATGGCATAGTAGTCTGGGTAATGCTAGAAAACACAGACAGGCCCGTAAATGTCAAGAATTAACTATTTCAGGGCACAAATTGAAGGCTAAAGAATCTTTGAGGACTCACCACTTTGGAAGGCAATTTCTGGAACAGTTCACTGACATGACGCCCTGAGGGATCAGCGTGTGACACTAAAGCCTCCAAGAGTTGCTCAAACAATTCCTTCAAATTGACAGTTGAGGTCTAAAAGACAGATTTGCATAAATTGGTAATTTGGAAATAGTTACTTGTTACAACAAACATGAATTTCCACGAAAAGCATCAGTCTAGTCAATACAAAAACAACATACATTTGTAGTGGCATAGTGATGTTACACACTTCAGTCAAACTCACAGGCAAGGCAACTCAACAACACATCTAAAGAGGAACTGACCTCATCTTCGGTTGACATTCCTGGATTATCCATCATATCATCACCATCTTCATCATCCTCATCTCCGTCCCCCGGTTGCACAAACTCATTCCTTGTTTGCAGATATACTCCCCACAGCTTGCATGCAGCTTGATACTCCTCAGTGTCACTCTGAGTAGTTGAACAGGAAAGGAATTATGTAAATTAAATATGGTTCTACTACTACACAATAGTACAGTGACAGATATACTGTAACAGTACTTACCTTGTAGAACAATTTGGCATTGTTGAACATGAGCTGGAAATCTGCAGTGAGCTGCTCCACATCATTATAATCTTCTGACTTCAGTTTGTACTGAATTTTTGTCATATCGATTGGGTGGGACACTGTCTCATAATAATCAGGCTGATTCCTGAAAAAGAACAAGAGTAATCAGGCTCTGTATGTGTGAGACCCGCCCACCAGTCAGACCGTCACATTTCATAAAGTACAGTGTATATGTTGGACAGGTCCACACACTATTCTTTTTAACAATGTTAGACTCTACGCTGGCCTTTGTGTTGCAATACCTTCTCTTTGGTACCCTTTGGAAAACTTCACTAAGTTGCCTCCCTTGGCCGTCCTTGTGGTCCCTGACAGCATTGAACAGCTCATGGCATACAGCAATCTAAAGGGAACGAGTCGTGAAAATCAAAAAAGGGTTCACACATATAAAATAAGATGTCACATTATTTTGAAGCGGCAGTTGTAGTGATAGTATAAACCACGTGAATTTACTGTATCTACAGGAGGAACATTTGAGATTCTTCTTCTTTTTCTGCCACTTCCAGGTGTAGAGGAGGCATCGTCCAGGTCACCGCCTCCACTGACGCTGCTGGAGGGGGAAGTGGCCCTTCTCCTCTTGGAGCTCGCTGACATCGCTGGCTTGTTTAACAACAGGCTAGCCGGCTAGCTGCGAACAGAGGTTAACGTTATTGTGGACTTTAGTATGATTGACACGCGATTAATTCTAGTTAAAGTGAACATTGGTCGTCCATCTCGCTATTCACATCAAGGCTAAAACGGGAACAAGAGCAAACTCAACCTGCTAGCGTTAGCACCGCTTCGATGTATGAAACAAAGCAACCAGGCGAGCGGCTGTTAGCATCTTATCGTATCTTGCTTGCCGCTTTTCTAATAACGCAGCCAAGTTAAATATTCTAACGTTACCAGAAAACACGTGCAAGATTGGATGATTAAAAATATCAAATGACTTTCGAAAGCAAATCTTACCCAAAACGAAGCAAAGTTCGCCGTAGTTCCCTGAGCAAAAATGTGTAACGGCTAGCTAGTGTTGTTTGAAAACTACTGCTGCCCGGAAGTTGAGGTTGTTTTACGTTTGTGTGTAGAGAAGGAACGCGCCACAGAAAACAGTGCTGCCCCTTCGGGGCAGGAGTAGTAATACACCCAATGTTGTTGATACACAATAAAGAAGATATATAATGAACAATAGAAATACATGTTTTAGTGTATATAATGTTAGTAGCCCAACAAGAGTGCTAGTAGTACTAAAAAGACAGTATTTTTTTACGCAGAATTTACAAGGAACCTGTTAAGCACAAACAACAACAATAATAACATGTATTTATATAGGCCTACTGTAGCACAAAACAGTATTAAAAAATGTTCTCGTTTATTTTTTAAGACAAAGTGCTTTACATAAATAAAAATAGATCAAAACAATGGCAAACATGTGTTATGTGATAAATGTGTAGTTTACAGGACAAATGAAATAATAGAATAAATGTAAATGTATATCAAAAGCCGATTTGTAAAAAAAAGAGTCCTTGATAGAGTTTTAAAAGAGTATGTCAAATTATATAAATGTAATATTTTCTAGTTTTAGTTCTACACAAAAATTAGTTGATTGTGCTGGTTTACTGTAGATGGCAGGAAGGAGTTAAATGTTGAGTTTAAAAAAACCTCTTTAAATCTTTGACAAATTTTAATCTTCAGAGTCTGGGTATACAAATGGGGTCAGAGCGCAGATGTTGTGCCTCAAGGTCTGATGGCATTTTTATTGCTGCAAAGGGGAGCAATGTTTGACCATGGTCCGAAAATGATCAGACTGTTGGGTTAATAAATATATTTGCACGCTGGGTGTGGCTGAAACAGCTTTAGTTAATACAGATCACATTTGAAGTGTTTGTATACAGTTTAATCTAGTTTTTATACGTTTTTGTGGACACATTTTCAATAAATGTATTAACTGCGTTTGGTTGTCTGCTTGGAGAGTGGGATGAAGGGTTAGATGTTTGGGGACAGAGTTGCAGAAACGAACTGTTTACAGCATTCAACATGAGGACAACAGAGAAAAACAAGGAACACACAGGATCCATATTAAAATAAGGTTCTCCATCAATGTCCTGTTTGAAAACAGCTTGTGGACAATAATACAGAGGTTGGCAAAATAACATGGAACACCTTGCAATGTGTTGGTAAAACAAAGAGTTCAGCAAAAAAACTTCCTTTGAACTTTTCATATGACTGTAAAAAAGATGGTGAATATATCTTTTTGTATTTTTTCGTGCTAAATGCAGTTGTATTTTGTCCTATACTCTGTTACTTAACATTAGGCCGGCACGCCTCTGCTGGGCTCTGTGACCTGCGACCAACATCCAGGTGTTGATGCTGTGAGAGAGCGAAGCAGGGCGTTGCCTCAAGATGAGTGGGTAACCCGAGGTTTACTTCTCTGCAAGTGCTCATTTGGGCCTATTTGTTTAATAAACCACACTGATATTTAAGTAGCCTATAAAAAGACTTGCATTTAAACAGGCCGCTTGGCTTGTGTGTGCTTTGTCAGTGCTGTGTGATGATAGGCTCATAGGTTACATTTTTCGCAGTGACACGTTCTGCCTGTTTCTCAAAGACTCTGAAATTGTCTGCACACTCTGACACCGCGGGAGCGTTATTGACTGCGAGAAGCCTTCTGAAAACTACCAGCATTATGTAAAATAAAATAAAATAAACGCTGTTCACAAATGACAGACAGTAGGCTCGACTCTCATAAGGTGAAGCGCAGATCACGTTGGAGAACAGTGAGTGTTTTCTTCTGCTGCACTACGTCCACAGACGTCTGCTTTTCTTGACGTCAGGAGAAGTCTGAGCGCTGCGCACAAGCACAGCAACCAGAACGCTCCCAGAGGGAAGGAGAACACATCACAGACACAGATCGCAATTTAGGTACGTCTTTTTTTTTTTTACAGTCATATATTCACCGAAATGTATTATCGATCGTGCGTTTTTTTTTTCTGTCGGCAGTAAAACTTGTAAAGCTTTATGTGTGCGCCTCCGTGTCGCATGCCTGCAGCCTCCTGATCTAACCCAACGATGCTGCCTTCCTTTGACTGCCATACCCTTGAGCGCTGCAGCAGGCTACGCTTCGCACACCCACACCGCCTTTTTCTCTCATGCATGATCGCCAACACGAAAGTGGGACTCATTTTCAGTATCGCAGACCCATCGCACCGGCAGAACGTTTTAATTCCCATTCAACCCCCTGCTTGCCATTCACGCCCTGCAGCCCTAATGCAGAGCAGGTTACCAAATGTTTCTCAGTGGAGCGCAGCTTCCATTTCACCTGAGCTCTTGTAATTGTAGATTTTTTTTTCTTCTTCTTCAGAGCAACCTTATTTTTTAAATCTTCAGATGTTATATATAGCACAGGTCCCCCAGCTGGTATCTGCCTCTACTGACCATGCGTTTGTTTTTGCGGCGGTGCATAGTCCCTTCACTGTATCTGTATCTGCTGCACTGTTTGCCCTACTTTCTGTTATTCGTTGCTATTCATTGTTGTCCAGTCGGTTGTCAGCAAAGAAAGCTGTAGTTGTTGTGGGTTGAAGCTTTTAGGGGGGCAGTAATCATATTATGTTTCCAGTGTGCAGGTTTATTTTGGTCATTCGTATGAACATTTTTGTTCTTATTCATTCATTATTACCGTACATGACATTTTGCGCAGGCATATATGTTTACTCACATTTATCCTGGCTTATGTCTCTAAAATATAAGAGACTGCATTAAAAGATCAGGTCTACAGCTTCAGTGTTTTCTTTTACTTGTGATTTCAGCTTATAATCAGTCATCATGCATATACGAAAAAAACTACTAACTTGTCTTCGTGACATTGAGTTCAATCAAACTTGCTGCAATAACATGAGCACTCAATCAGGGAATTACCTGGTTTCTTAATGACTTAAGTTGAATATTCAGTCAACCAAACTGTAATGGACATATTGAACTGATACTGAAGCACAATATATTATGCAGCCTGAATACTCCTAATTAAGTATAGGCTACCTTATGGTTCAAGAGTTGAGTGCCCATTGATTGTCATATTTCAAATCGTATCTATTATTTCGCCACTGTGTGCTGGAATGATGTTTGTAATAGAGACAGCATCAGAGGGTGGTTCAAAAAGCATGTTACAAAACCATGTTGCCATTGAGGATTTTTTTGTCTTTAACACTTATTTGTATTAAAAGTCACTGGTCTGAACAGTGAACCATTGGTTGGATTTAGCACAATCCTCCTGATCAGAGATGTATCTTGATTTGATTACACATGCAGTGGGTCAAAATGTAATTGTACATTCTCTGAGATCTACAAAAATTTTTTTTTTGTGTTTTATTCTTTCCTTTTTGCCCCATAGCTGTAGTGTGGCGAATCCGACCAGCGTTGTAGGATGCCTCTTGGAGAGGATGGAAATGGATGGAAAAAGAAGACATCAGACATCAAAGAACATTATGACTTCAAAGAAGTGCTGGGAACGTAAGTTGCACTTCTAGTTTAGTGCTGTCGTCAGGTCAAGGCTGACCCTAGACCCTCAAACATCTCAGCTGTGTCAGTTAACTTGCAGGTAACAGAGTACATTTACAAACCACATAGAGTTGAAGAAACCAAGAGGGTCAAAGGGGAGCACAACTCATTCTTTCCCCCATCTCTGCATGCTGTCAGGGCTGCAGTGTTTGAGTCTGGACTCTGGAGTCCCTCTAGAAATTTAACAGACATTTTGGACGTGCCTGTCACTTCTGCCTATTTCGACTCAGACTTGTCTTGTTCTTGGCCGCTGTTGGATGCTGACTCAATTATTCCCCACTTGCTGAGAAGTATTCAAAGACGCATTTCTTTCCCTCGGCCAGTTTGACTTTCCTCTGAGCTGAGCAGAAACATTTGAAATGGATTCAAGTTTTTATGGGTTGACTGTTCAAAGTAAATAGCAGAATATATAATAACAAAAGCAATAATAACTTTACTTCATCTAGTTTTGGAAGCAGTTAATATATTTCCACGTTGTTGGTCTTAGTTATAGCCATAACTGTGAGGGGATCATGAGTTCTAGGTAGTCTGGCCTTCATGTTAGCTCTGACTTGGTTGTTGTCAGGAGAGAGGAGTCCTGAATGGATGCGAGGCAGTTGTCAGTGACAAACTAGTGAAAGCTCATGTTTCATCGTGCTACTTGCCCTAAAGCTAAATTATAACAAAATGCAGTAGTTCTTTCTTATCGCCCACAAGTTATAAGCATACGAATAACACTACTAAACTTAATGAAACCTGCAATATCTTAATATAACCTGTCTATATCTGAATATGTAGTCAGCTGCACCTTCCTCTGCTCATGTGATGACTGACTGGAGGATGTGAGAGACATATTGTATGAACAAGGCAATAAAAGTTATGTATTGATCTTAATTTCTGAAAGGATCAATAGCAAATGTATGCTCATGGCAAAAGCAAAGTTTTTCAGATTTCTCTGAAAAACGTTTCAAAAGTTCAACTCACCTACGTGTGTGATGTGGCCTGGTGGCAACCTCTTTCTATTGTTTGTAGTGTGGAATCTAAAATAGATCACATTTACATAAACATTTAAATAAATACACATTCAGTTTGTTATAAATTGCTGAATTAATCTCAAACCAGCAGGAAAAAGGTTGCCTTGTAATGGTGAGGGCTGGACTCACACAGACCTGTGACTGCGCTTCCCAGGGGGACACGACTTCGCCCAGATGGTCAGGGGGCACATTCAGATGGTCAGGCTGCCCCCCCCAGACTAAGTAGAAGTGACCTAGCACACGTCCACCTGTGATGACACAAGTGTGCCATATGGACTGTGTTTGTTTTATATCTTCTTGGAATCACACCTGCTTCCCCAGAGAGGCTAGAAGCAGATTTTAATGGCTGTGCAACTCTGGTTCACATCCAAAAAAGTGAAATAGCAGTGGGCTGGTGATGAGGCTGTCTGGTTATTTCGAGTGCTGTAGGAGGACATCAAATAAGACTCCATCGGTCTCATATGTCTCAAGTCTTAGAGCTGCGCATGCTAGATGCAGTGCACTTTGACAGTTTATCTGAGAACACACGACTGCTGCTAAATGCTGGTAACTTCTGTTATGAATCCACTCAGACTCACAGGAACTTAAAAAAGTGATTGTAATTTGAAGTATAATGTGAAGGGTTATATAACAAGGATTGAAAGAGTGAATTGCCAGGATAGTCAGTCCCAGATTGCTTAATAAAGATGGGGGGGGGGGGGGGGGGTTTGGTAATATTTTTTCCCTCCTGTCGCCATAGCTGGACCTGGCACAGAGGGCATAATTAATGTGTTGACGGGAAAGCTCCTTATGGTCGAAGAGAAGATTACAGAGGAGCTTTATCCAGGAATTCAGTGCACAAAGTTAATTGATTTATGTTGAAATATCAAAATCCAGATCCAGCTAATCCTCACAGTTCTACCTCTGTTTGGAGTCCACTTCAGGACAAGCTGTCCCAGGGTTAGCAGATTGAAACAATTCCCCCACGCTACAGATATCATTTCTGTCAACCTTTGGTTGCACATGTTTTTAGTTTTTCTAACTATCACTTTTCTCCTGTCATCTACCTATGATGAATTCATGAGACATGCCAAGTGTACAGCTCTGATAAAACTCTCTATATGGAGCCATACATCTGTTGCAATTTTGTCAAGTGATGGCGGAACACACTTTATGAGATTACAGCTAACTTTTTTTTTGTTGGGGTGGGACTTGAAGGAGTAGTGATATATGAAAATGAGTTCAGTGTATGAGTCCTAGGGTCAGAGAAATCCCCACAAGCTGGCAGCTTGTGGGACAGAAAGGAAGAGCATGAGGCCAGTTAACAAATTAATATCAGACCCCAAATATAGCAGTAAAAACAGTTTAAAGGTGCTACATATGAGATTAGGAGCATTTTGATTGCTTCTTAACTGCTCTCAACCGACGTCTCGCAGCTAATGGTTCTAACAGTGCAAACTACGGCAAACGTGCTGACAGAGCTGACAGGGTGGGTGCTTGCACGACAAATCTGTCAGATGCCGTAGCTCGGCTTACAAGAGTGACTTTACACTCTGCTCAGGTAGACATTACTCCACTACATCTTTAAATAGCAAATAGTTGCTGCTACAATAATGCTCTGAATCCAGTAAATTGCACCTTTAAACATCCACAGCAGAGTACTTCTTGTGTGAGAATATATGGTCGGCCTTTGTGAACTTGTCTGCCAACTCAAAACAATGAGCTCAAAACAACGAAACCTGCATAGAGCTGCAGAATTTGGTTCTGATTTCCAGTAAGAGCAGCAGTTCCAGCACCCCTTTCTTAAAAGGCTATTTTATTGAATATTAGAATACTCATTGTTTAATTGAGTTTTAACACCGAAGTGGAAATTCAGAGACAGATGTTAGGCCTATGATAGATGCATTTTGTACTCAGAGCCAAAGCATAAGAATGGTGCCTTAAAAAAGAAACAAAGATAAGAACTAGAAATGGGGGAGGTGAGTTTTAAGAACTACTCGTGCAGTCCAGGTGGATAATGTGTAGGAGCATGAACACTGTGACGAGTACTTAACACTGTTGGAAAGCTCTCATGCTGGTTGTTTATAGAGAAGAGCAGAGGAGTTAAGAGGTTTGACTTACGCATGACTTTAGTGAAGTAGATGGAAAAGTGAATGATCCAGTCCCAAGCTTTGTTGATATGAAGTTATAGTTTTTTTTCACAATGACTCCGACGTAACAATGAATGTGGAGATTGTTTGGAATGGGATAATACTGTAAGTCTGTACATATCCACTCCTCTCTGTGTCTCTTTCTCTCAAACACACACACACACACACACACACACACACACACACACACACACACACACACACACACACACAAACACAAACACAATATGGATTAGGCTGAAAATAGAAAGCTTTTTCGGGACTTGGAGGCATGTTGGACTTGAAGGGCGCTCTTGCATCAGGGGATATCGATAAACTTATGGATGCTCGAAGCTGTCTGCAACAGGTCCAAGGGGCCTGACTGACCTGATTGATAGTGTATCTTTAGAACAAAAAAAAGAACATTATGAACAACATTTGACGTTGCAGCACACATCCATCATATTCAGTGCAAATGGGATTTAATTACATCACACTTTTTTGTCAGGCAAAGCCTTTAAGACATGGAGGAGTGCAAGAAGAGCACAGTTGTCACAGCGAAAAGCAAGGAGAGACACTGACAGCAGTATGAGAATGTGTGAATCAATATTTTCCCATATGGACAGCTGGGATTAAAGCGTCTTCAACAACCTGTGTGTGATGTGTTTGTGTGTCAGACAGAGTCCCACGCTGTGGTATCTATCTATCTATCCATCCATCCATCCATCCATTGTCTAAAAATATGTGTTGACAGTCTTGTTCGTGTACACAAAAACAGCCGAGCGTCAGCTGTGTGTCTTGAGGCCAATGAGTCATACGAAACTCATTTATTTTAATTTGTTAACAGCAAGTTAATGTGCACGCCAGGACTATTTATTGGCATGAAATAGATAAAATGATGATTCAAGATATCAGTGGTCTGTTGCTGATTGCTGGTGTAAAAAAAAGAAACTGTGTGTTCTAATCTGAGACTGAAGAATCGAAGTCTTTAAATCTGGACAATAATCATTTCACTCCTGCCTATAGTGCTGAGACTTACACATTAGCTGTTAACTAAATCTCATCCGTGATGAATAACAGCAGTAGCTTCTTCCTTTCTTCCTCTGACTGCCGTCCCCCTGAGAGCCCATCCCTACTCGGTCTCCAAGTAGAAATTATCAACTGGATGCTTCCAGTAATTACAACGTGTCTCACGGCAACAGAAAGGCAAGCTTTTCTTTTTCTTTTGAGGAGTAACATAGATAAAGCATGGATCAGGTCACATACAGTATGAAATTGAGTTAATATTTCAAGGCAGATATTTACTGTTTGTTTCTGTCAGTAATACTGTTGATAATATAAAATAAGGCTATACTGATACTGTTGTTACTGCCATCTTCTTCTTACTGTAAACTGAATTTAAACTAGAATACATTTCAAACATGATCTGGTTCCAACTTCTCAATCTTTAGGTTCTGCTGCTTTTCTCTTTGGGTTTTGATCTGTTGGTATGAAAGAATAAGATATTTGATGACACCACCATGCGTTCTTGGACACCGTTGCCTTTTCACTATAAAATTATTAAAATAATCAAGGTCTCCATGCATGACCAGAAGCAGACACATTTCAGTTCCCACAATAAATACACCTTTAGGGCCACTTCGTGTCTGTCTCCCTGTCCTGGCCAACTGCCCCTTCTATTTTACAGTAAATGGAGAATAAGACTAAATAGATTATTACACACCAATAATAGAGTTTTGTCGCTCCTGATCCTCTGAGGAATCCCCCACTCTAAATGCTGCAGACTTAAACACATTAAAATGCTTTTATGGGTCGATGAGAATTGGAGCTTCCTGTGATTTTGCTTTGAGATTATTTTAAGGACTGTTTAAAAAATGAAACCGGAGATGTGTGTGAGAATCGTCTCCCCTCGTGTGCATCAGCTTCACTGTGCAAACGTTTCTGCTGCGCTGCTTCGTTGAGCACAAGATGGCCACGGTACAAAGCTCAAGGATTACCGCAGTTCCACACTGGGCATTTATTATGACATGGTTGATGGGAGGAGGTGCACAAAGAGACGGTCGGGGTTGCACAATGACTTTAGTGCTTTATAATTAATAACTGTTAAAAGCAGAATAAACACAACGTGAGAGAGGTTTGCCTCCTGATCACATGGTTGTTGTTGGCAACAGCCGTGTGATGTCTGCATCCTTTCATTTTAGGGTTGCACACTTAAGTGAACTTCAGACTGAGAAGTCCTCAAGGTGTTCCACAGTGTGACGGATGGAAAGGAAGAGGGAATAATGGCTAAAACATGAACGTTGAACTCCCATTGTGTATTGCATGACGGTGCTGTTTCACAGGCATGTAAAGGATCCCTGCGGTTGCTGACAATGTTTGTGTGTTCAGGCCTCCTCCTGAGCTCCCTCCCACGCTCCTTTGGGGAGACTGTGTAAATACACACTACTCTGCCTCTCACCATCACCATAATACATAATGCAGTTGGCTCTCCCTCAGAAACAGCCACACCACATTTACTGTATCTATTATTGAAGAGATTAAAAATAGTTTTTTTTATTTAAACAAGTGATATAAATATAAATGCATCTGTTGCTGCACCTCCTGAGCATTTCCTCAGCCCCAAAAGCTCTCAGTAATGTCACCATTTTGAATTATTCACCAAAACACCACACACACACACACACACACACACACACACACACACACACACACACACACACACACACACACACACATACAGATGGCTGGTATTTGGAGATATTTTTTTTTATTTAGTGTGGGAATCAACCACAAACACACCATTCCACTGAAGAAATATGAAGAATTATAAAATGATTTGCAAGAAAAGCTCTGAATGTTCTGTCTCATTAGTTCCTTCTTAAAATTTGTAAAATCTGTAAAATTTAAACCCATCATGGCCTGTAGAGCCTAAGAACAATACTCTCCCATCTTGTCTATTTCACCCCACACTCCAACACATTCCTCTTACTTGCTTTAACGTTTGCATATGTTTGTGTGTGTGTGTGTTTCGACTGCTTGTGTTTCAGGGGAGCTTTCTCAGAGGTGGTACTAGCAGAGGCGAAGAGGACTCAGAGGCTAGTGGCCATCAAGTGCATCCCCAAGAAAGCATTGGAAGGCAAAGAGAACAACATCGAAAATGAGATTGCTGTACTACACAGGTGAGGTCACCTAGGTTCCTCGCAATGCGTCAGCAGGTGCTTTGTGTCCAACGGGACAAATTAGTCAGGGCAGTGTCTTCCAGCAATGCATGCGCAGATGCATAATATATGCAAGGGGTCAATTGAATGGGTGACTAAATGCACGGTGTCAGTAGAAACAGTAGGATTGTGCACCGGAAATGTCAGGAGTAAAGAAGATAGACCTATTTTTAGTGTCCCTGTTGCCAGGGCAACAGCACACAGAGGCGGAGATGGTGCGGAGTTCCCTGCAGCAGTGTATTGAAGAAAGAGAAAGAGACAGAGAGGGTGGGGGAAGTGGAGAGGGGGGTAGGGTACGATAGAAGGAGAGAGATATGGCAGAATGGGAGGAGTGGAGTTTGGTCAAATACCTAAAGTCACTATTAGATAAATGAGAGAGTCATGAGAGTGAGAGACTTGAAGGAAGTTAATCTGAAAAAAACACCATTTCTACTAAAAGTCCCATCTCAGCTGCCGATGTGTTACAGCGATGCTGTGTCAACTTGACTTGAGAGCCAAGAGAGATGCTCGACTGTCTGTTGGCTGGTTCATAACAGTAAACAATCCAATTGGTGAGATTCTGTCAAGCCCGACAACTACAATATTCAAAACTGGTCTTTGTTACTGGTTCCAGCTGTATACCGGTCATTGTGTTTCTTAGCAAGAGGTCGTTACTGTATCTAGAGCTTTTCTGTATCTGATCTGAGAGGCTTTTTTAATTGATATTGTAGGAGATGAGGGAAAACGCAAAGATCCCAATTAACTGTATGCCCTTTCATAGAAAATAGAGAACAGATAGTTTTGAATTTGAATAATGCAGCAAGTATGCCACCTGGTGACCAATTTAAAACAGAAAAGTTACGATTTCTGTCCATTTAATCCTCCTCAGAATCAAGCACCCCAACATTGTTACGCTGGAGGACATCTTTGAAAGTACATCCCACCTATATCTTGTCATGCAGCTGTAAGTTTTTCTTTCTCTTTGTCTTACACAAGGGCCAATAATACGATAGAAGGGGTGCATTTAGCATACATTTTCACTGTCAAGATTTTATTCATCAATTTGTCGGTTTACTGACAATTTATTGGCAAGAATTTGTCAAACAAAAATGTCTAGTTCGGAGTGTTTAAATGGACTATTGGCTGATTTTCTCTGTTTACCATAATTGTAAGTTTAATATTTTGGGGTTGGGGACAAAACAAAACATTTAAAAATGTCGCCAGGGGATCTGAGAACTTGTGATGGCCGTTTTACTACATTAACATTCAGTTAACATTCAGTTTTCCCCTTTTGTTTCCCTTTAAATAGCTTTTAGGATCATCTTATTCCACATTCTATTGCCATATATATTTATATATGTCACATGTGCATCATTTATCTGTATCAATTAAAATACTCAAAGTCAAAGTACATTTTTAACTGCACCAAATAATCTAGATGTTGTCTGTATCATTTTACTCACAATTTCTGTAAAATTATATTTGGCAACATATATATCTAGAATTGAATTTTTTCGTGGTTTGAACAATATTTGGCTGCACAGCGTGAGCGTTACTTACAGCCCAAATTCAATACAAAACCTCTCTGATTTTCACCTGGCAGGGTATCTGGAGGCGAGTTGTTTGACAGAATTGTGGAGAAAGGTTTCTACACAGAGAGAGATGCCAGCCAACTCATCCACCAGATCTTGGATGCAGTCAAATACCTCCACGATATGGGAATCGTTCACAGAGACTTGAAGGTATCATTGCTCAGGGAAGACAGAAATAAAACAGCTCAATCTGGCTTGCAGTTGATGCTTTTTTTCCTTTTTCTAACCCTCCTCTTTGATTGCTCTTCTTGTCATCGGTAGCCAGAGAATCTGCTGTATTACAGTATGGACGAAGACTCCAAAATCATGATCAGTGACTTTGGACTGTCAAAGATCGAGGGAGCAGGCAGTGTCATGTCCACAGCCTGCGGTACTCCTGGATATGTGGGTAAGGCCTTCATTTCACTGGTCAGCCAGACTCTCCTCACCTCCACCATCTCTTTCATGTGAACTTAGCACTTGCTGTTTCAACTGATATCCCCTCTATATTCATTTGGCTGTGAGAAGCTCTTTCATCCACTTCTGAGTCAATTGCAAGTGTTTCACAAGTGCTCTCTACCTGTTTAACATGACCTGGATCACATAGTATTACAGAAACGGTCAAGATTACTTGAATTCAACCCCTCTGCAGCTCTATTTTTCTACTTTTCCTGAATGTCCGCTGTGTTTGTGTATCACAGCTCCCGAGGTGCTCGCTCAGAAGCCGTACAGCAAAGCAGTGGACTGCTGGTCCATAGGAGTTATTTCTTATATTCTGTAAGTCTGAACTCATTCATCACTGAGAAGTGTGTAAAGCAATGTAAGTTAGTAATAGTATTGATTATGTTCCAATATCTCTCCCTCAGGTTATGTGGATATCCTCCGTTTTACGATGAAAACGACTCCAAGTTATTTGAGCAGATTCTGAAAGCGGAGTATGAATTTGACTCTCCGTACTGGGATGACATCTCAGATTCAGGTACTACCCATTACTAAAAATATGTACAGCAGATCCACGAGTGTTAACTAGCAGATCAGAGTTGAGTATTACTCCATGAACTTGATTTTTGTTTGCAGCCAAAGACTTCATCTGTCACCTAATGGAGAAAGAATCATTGAAGAGATATACATGTGATCAGGCCCTCCAGCATCCATGGTAAAAAAGTCAAAATACTCACTATCTTTATATCTCAAAGAATATCTAAGAACACACTCATCCCTTTCAATATGCTTGTGTGTAGTGTTGAAATCTATTTGCCAATTAGTTGATTAGTTGACGGAACTGAAAAATGAAACCATTTCAATTTTCTCATGCATTCTCTAGCTTTTAGATGTTCTCTTTGGGATTTGGACTGTTGGTCGAAACACCGAAACGTGCAATTTAAATACGTCACTTTGGGTTCTTGAAAATGATAATGGACAGTTTTCACTATTTTCTGACTTTTAACAGACTAAATGAATAACTTGAGAGAAAAAGTGAGAACAATGTATAAAAAAATTGAAAAAGATATTAATAGTAGGGCTGCATCTAACCATTTTTTGACATTATTGATTAATCTGTTGATTAGTTTTTCGATTAATTGATTAATCTCTTTGTTAAAAATTCTCATTCTGATTTTCCAGAGCCAAAGGTGACACATTCAAATATCTTGTTTTATCCAACCATCAGTGCTGTGTCAGTAGTTCAAGTGTGGTCAGGGGAACCCCAGCAAAAGGGGAATAATTAATCTTCCCTATAATTCTACCCATAAGCAACACAATGGCCGAATATAAGTCTATTTTGGTCATGGGTTTCATACACTTTCTGTAATAACACATCCAAAAGAGGGAACCCTAGGAAAAAATCTTATCAAATAGGGGTCCACAGTCTAATTTGTGTTAGTTTGAGGACCATCATGCATTGCATCTGTGACAAAGAAAAGTATCAAATATTCACAGACGCTGGGACGAGCTAAAGTTTGGCATTTTGTTTGAAAAAATTACTGGAGCAATGAATCAATTATTAAAATATTTGCTGATGTATTTTTCTGTCAATCTACTAATTGACAAATAAGAAGACGAATAAGCCTCAGCCAGGTGACGCAACTGCCTGCATATTCTGTGATTGACTTTTCAGGATCTGTGGAGACACAGCTCTGGACAAGAATATCCACGAATCTGTCAGCGCTCAAATCAAGAAGAACTTTGCCAAAAGTAAATGGAAGGTCAGTGCCATGGCTGAATCGTGAACGTGCAGAAATTAAGATTGGCAGACACACATTTTGTACACCTTTGCTGTTTTTCTCCCTCAGTAGCTGTCAGACACAGACAGGCTTTTCCTTCCTCTCTCTCTGTCCATGCAGCAAGCATTTAATGCCACAGCGGTGGTGCGCCACATGCGGAAGTTGCAGCTGGGTACTAGTCTCGAGGGACCTAGTCAGATTACTCCCACCAGTCCCTGCCATGGACATCTGCTCCCGGAGGAAGAGGAGGAGGAAGAAGACGATTTGGGGAATGGGGAGGAGGAGAGCTGTAAGTTATCAATAAATGAACAAACACTCTCAGTCTATTTCAGACGTCTGGCTCTCTTCACATACAAGAGTCATGCCACAGTATGTTAGAGGGTTACTGATGTAATGGATATTGTGCTACATTGTATATTCACAGTATTTTAACCTTATTGCAGTCAACTTTGCAATGATACAACTGTCTTGAGCAAGTATCTTTCTCATCTCTACCAACTACCCAATATGATGCAAATGCAGCATTAGGAAAAGGAGGACGCAGGTTTGGCTGGTCTAAGACAAATGTGTAGAAAGCAGAAAGGAAGAGATCTTCCTCAGGCATTGACATCCAACTTTGAGCCTTAGACGGTAGAGAAGGGGAAGACGGGAGAGGTTTGCACGGGATTGAATGAAAGAGGGAGGATGGCGGGGATGAAAAGGGGGATGACAGGATGAATGAGTGCGTAGAGGGATAGAGGGAGGGAGGTGAGTGGGTCAGGGCAAGAGAAGGGAGTCAAGAAAACTGAGACAAACAGGAGAGGATGGGTCAACTTGTAAGGTTTGACAAGTGATGAGAGGTTTAGATGAGGCACGACTGTTCTCCTGAACATAAGTTAACCTGTGAAAGGAACATTTTATTTTCAACCTGGGTCTTATTCTCTTAATGAAAATAACTTTTGTTCATGCTAACCTTGCACATGCCACCAACAAACACTTGTCTCTGACAGAAAGTAAACACAGAAATTAGCACCCAGTATTAGCTAAATATGAAGTGCTAACTTCATTGTGAAGGAAATTAATTTGAAAAGCTTTAATGAACTCCTGCTGCTTGGTCAGATATGTTGTTTTGAAGGTGTCAAATTTCCCAAATCTCTACAAAGGACGCGGTGAGTGCAAGGATATTACGACCCATATTCAGAATGGCCATTATTATGAGTATATACTATTGAAAAGTACCAGAACATCCCTTTTACTTCATATGCTCCCTTGTTTGGCTCTAATCACTAGTGTCCCACTTTGAAGACGGCCGTCGCGGAAGCACCGAGGGCAGCACAGACCGGGACAGCCTGAGAAGCTGCACCTACTGCTGCAGGCCAGCCAGTCGCGTTTGAGCACCTCCCGTGGTTGTATCCCCGGAGCACCCAGAGCCCGCCCCCGCCCAGTCTGGCCAGGAATGCAGAGTAGTTATCAGGCAGTGTCCGCCAGAGTACATCCACATTTAGCAGGTCACTGTCACAGTGTGGAGAAACATAACGCAAGTCTTTTTCCCCCCGTAACAAAAACACATCCGAAATCAAGACACGCAAGTTTAAAATTAAATTTGTTGCAGAACAGAATGCAAGGCTACGCCGAGTGGACAGTGACTTAAAGAAAGGGCCAGTCTGCCTGATTAGCAACCTAACATGTAGTTGTCCTTTGTGCAGCGTCAGCAGACAGGGGTCATTTGACAGCATGTACATTACAAAATGTGGCTCTGGATGTTAGCTAACAGGAAGGATCCAAGCCTCTGGAGTCTGAATCAAAGATGAGGCAGTGGCCTAAAGGCAGTCTTCTCCATTATTTTTGTTCGTATATGATCTGTCACATCTACCTCTAATCGCAATTACCGTTCGTCTGCATCAATCTGGCTCTCACACGCTCTACATTACTGGCAGCTTTCTCCAAAAATCTGGCCAGACAGGGCACAAAGAAAAGGGGAAACACTTTCCAGAGGGAACTACTGAAAGCTACTCCTGCATGTCTTTATACTTCTTACCCATCAATGTGACTCGGTCTAGTCACTGACCGAGTAGCTGTTTAGTTGAATAGAGTTAACCTCAAGGCATGACTTCACTGTCGATGCCAACTGCTCATTTGTTCTGTTTTGATCACTCTGTCTTTCTTTCTCATATTAAGTGTTTCTGTCCTTTTAAAGGTTATTTTTCTAAAAGACGTTTTTGAAAAGTGGAGGGTGACTCTGGAGGTTATGGACTCTATATTCTGGCTCAGACTGGGTTTGTGAAGAGTGGTTCTGACCTGGAGCGTCTGCATGCTTCTGTTTGGGAAATGGGAAATCAAAATGTATGAATATCAAAAGGAGACTTTTCTTTTCTTCGTTTAATGGCTGTTCTGTTAGAGGCTCAAACTGAGATCCCTGTAAGTCTGTAAATCACAGGAATCTGACGTGGGCTCACATCATGTCAGGGGGAGTTATTTTAAAGATGCGATTAAGTTGAGAATCCACTGTGCGTGGGAAGAAAACGATCATATTCATATCACGCTCATCCTCTCTGTTCTGTTTCTGACAAGCGTCTAAATATCTGTCTGCTGGCAATCTCTTATGCTGAGTCAGTGGGATCTCAGTTTGGGCGCTCCGCCTGCTCTGTGCTGTGCACCTCTAGTGGAAGAAGTTTTGGTCTACTGTTTGCATGACCTGGTTAAATATGTTTACATGAATGATGATCAATTAGTATAAACACACATGATTATTATTACTATGTTGTATTGAAAAAAATGATGTAATACTGTATCTTTGAGCTGTATAATGTGAAGTGAGTAACACCAGAAGTAATGTTGTTGACAAAGTACAACACAGCACAGTGGACTTATCATTTGCATTGACTGTGATGGTCAAGTCTCTACCTGAGTGACATTTCAACTGTACTTTGTTTATTTACAACTCAAATATTTTTTTTTCAGCCTGTTTTCTTGCCGTTGCTTATGTATAATCTATTTATTCCTCTTTAATGCCCAGGCACAGGCAGAAAAAAA